TGGCAGTATTAATCACTTAAAAGTAGTAATAAATACGAATAAATCAGACATTATCCTAACATCAATAACATATAAATATTATAGACATTTATGCCACTACAATCTACTAAGCATTATATTAAATGTGTTCTACACACTAATACTTCATTATTATGCTGTAATTTCACTTTATTCATATCGATATTCTAAGAATTAAAGACGACAGTGTCACCTTCTTGTATGACTGTATGCAAAAAAAAAAAACACAAATAAGGCAGTGAATTCACTGCCATAAATAAGTGTTCTTTATCATTTAGATTGATTGATTTGATCTAAACATCAAGAGAAAACAGGATCAAGATCATATAAAGAGATCAAATAGTTATTTAGAGTTGCATACAATAAGCTGTCAACACCGAAATACATAATATTAAAGTATTAGAGAAGGCGGACAGACAGAGACACTACTCTTAGTCTAGTATAAGCGTGTATATGTCTAATACGTTCATATGAAATACACAATAATATATCGATTGACTAACAGGCCAAAATACCCGAACTGACTTTATTGCTAACTAGAAGCACAATCAAATATAATCACAGCTAATACTGCTTATACAAATGTAATCTTATGATACTAAGTTGAATAAAATAACTCTGTATGATAGCTGTCCTCCTTTAAAACATTAATTTTGCCTTTTAAAAGCATTAACATGTTAAACGTAAGGCACGAAGCGCGGTCAAAATTTGTTGTCTTTTTAAATATTCAAACTGGAAGATTACCGCTGTAAGCTTCACTTTTATGATCTGCTATCTTGTGCCCGCGATGGCTTTTAACGAATACATTTTTATAATAAAAAGACTTATGTTACTCCTTAGAACATAAGCTAAACGCAAGCATTTTTAGGTTTAACTAAACTGCTTTAATTCAATTCAGATGCATTTAGAATTTGATTTTTTTTATGTTAGAGGGGCAGACGAGCAGACGGGTCACCTGATGGAAAGTGAACATCGCCGCCCAAGAACGTCTGCAACTCAGGAGTCACAAACGCGTTGCCGACATTTTAGGAAGGGGCACGCTCTTTTTATATACGAGTGTGTATAGACACTATTTTAATTAGGAATTATCCAACCTACATTGGTAAGTGCAGTCATGAAACACTTCATGTTGCCTTTAATAGATTCCACCCTTAATTTCCACAATTATCGATATATTAATTGTAGTGAATGAAGTGGCTGTTACCTATCGGTATTAAATTTCAGCACTTGCGGGGGGCAGAAAAACAGTATTCCACTCTCGATTATATTCTGATCTTTAATCTTCCCAGGATATCACATTCTTTTAGTTCTTGTACAAGAGGCTGGATATCACCTAACCTTCTTAAAAAACGATTTGCAACTATCTCGTAACTAAGGATTTAATAAAAGATGAAAAACCACTAGGGTCTTAGAATAGTGGCAACCATCGTTTAACATGTTAAAGTGTCAGGTATAAAATTCTAACAGTATTCAGAATAAAACTCAGAAAATCGGACCATGTGAAAACAAACCAACACACTGCAAATTAATGTAATAATCGTGCTTCCTTATTACCTAAACATGAATTGTTCAACTAACACTCACTTATTTTACCATGTAAGTTACAAACATCATATGTATATTTTAGATACAAAAAATTGAGACATCAAACCTTAATCTAACACCACACCACGAGTACAGAGAGAATAAGTTCAATAATGGCTAACGCCATACATATAAAGCTAGTTTTGAGTCATTGACATAAAAACACGCAATAAGACTTCGTTCGAACTTCGAACTGCCAAAAATGTTCAACCAACTATTCCAAGACACGTCATTTAAAGCTTATAGAATGTCAAAATTCTAAAGCGAAGTCTTACAAATGGGCCAAAACCCCACAAAACAGGTTTTAAATTTAAATAATCAGCCTTTTCAGGTCTCATTTTATCCTAGGCTGGTTTATAAATATGCAAGCTCCGTTAAATGGGTTCTTAATACAGCGGAATTTCACTTTCGGCCGTTTTTAACAATATACACTTTTACCCTTTCAGTATTACAAAATTCGACACAAAATAAACTAACGATTGTAGTAAACCAATGTACTTATAGCACGGATATCGAAAGATATGCCGAGAGCTTAAAACATGGCTCGACACGCTTCAGTGGGTTTCATTGTTTGTACTGAACCATCAAACTGTTACAAAAACCCATTGAATTCCGTAAAAATTCATAAACGCCTTGTATCACAACAATACGTCTGTTGATCTACTCCGGGTCCTGTAATGAGTGTTTCTTTGTTTTACTGCTTGTTAGTGTGCATTTCACACTTTTTAAACTACATAAATAATAAACATGTTGAGATTTGTCGTTTATAAGACTGATGCCTTACATTAGGATGTCGTCGTGATAGTTATGTCATTTTACTGTATGACATTTATTGGCTAATAAATATTCTTTGCTCAATTGGTTCAACCTCAACAGTGTATAGCCCAATAAGTAACATGTAAAAATGTATATCACTTACGTAAGTATACTGGAAAACCCTTACGCCATTTAATGACGTCTTGCAAAAACTAGATGTCATTTGTTATCTATTCCATTCGTTTATGTAATTCGTAATAATTCCAATAATTACACTTTTAGGTTTGGAATTAATTTGTTTAAAGGTCATCTTCATAGTAGTGCCTTGGATTTGGTAAAGTAATTCTATCTTATATTATCATATCATGTTATTTAACATCAACTGTTGTTTTACAAACATACGTAATAAATACGTCTTATACATAAGTGGCCCTGCATACAGGGACAAAATTCTGTTTCTAGTATTATAATCTACATTAAGAAAATAAATTCGAAGTGGTTTTTATAAAATCGCCTGCAAGTATGTGCGTCTATTTAGAAAGAATAAGCATGACAGATAACATTTGTACAGGAATGCATTCGAGTTTATGGAAAAAGTGGTCCTCAAAATTGACTTCAAAATTTGGGTAACTGAAAACCCCAGCCAGCCATGTATGTTATACAATAGATACATCATTAGACAGGGATATGAATGACTGCATGTCATTTTAAATATTAGAGATTAAATAAATCAGTCTCTAGGTACTGTTTTAATGTAAGACAGTATTTATATACTGATGGGGAACGTTATTTACGAATATTACAAATATAAATTTAATGTAAAAATAATTGTCAGCGGAGGACTTCGAGGTAATCGAACTGCAATGAGTACCATGTCCTCTAGATGTAATTAACTGGAGTATAAACCAGTTTTAAAATGTAAAAAATAAATAAATCTTTTAATTCCTTAGGATATTCAATAAAGTTACTTAAAAACGTTAGTACAGTTCTTTACATATATTACAAAATAGGTAGGAATAAAAAATTTGTAAACCATATTTTTTTTATCGAGTTGGACGGTTCTTAGAGGGACAAATAATTCCTAAATGAAATTAATGGGGTACATGGTCGGTTTTTAAATTTCGGTTAATTTAAACCCTGTAACAATCACAGATAATAACTTATATTAGTATTACAAAGTAATATTTATGAATTAATTAGGGTACTTTCTGGTAACACAAGGCTGCATTTAATATAATTTAAACCACCTTTTTTTCAATCAAATCATTAAACTAATATAAACCTAATAGAAACCGATCATTTGTAGATAGTGTAAATTAATTAATGTAATCATAGAGATGTTGAGAAGACATATGGTATGTGTGTAAAGACTATTTATTAAATTAAACCATAGAAACGTTTTAAATATAGATTTGACAAAGGAGATCATCTATTTAGACATATTATAATAACTTTGGAATAAATTTATTAAACAAATGGGTGGATGGAACAACCAACAATTGCCCTAGAGCTGGCCCAATATTGTCATATTCTCCTAAAAACAACTTAGTTCATTTACGCTTTGGTATTTTAGTTATGTGTGTGTTAATCTTTGTTGAAGAATAGATGATGTCCTTTACATTTTATTTACATTATTACATAATAAGCAAAATATTTACAAGCTAAAACAAATCGTAATATATACAAGATAAAATAGTTTACAAGAAATGGCCATCCATAAACTACGTCATACGAATATCATGACTTATAACCTACATCCCCCCCAGCCCTGTCCTTGCCACATTTGTGAAACGTGTTCAAAAATATATATTTTTTTAAATATACTCCTCATTTATCTCCCCTTACCGTATGACGAAACTTGTAAATGGCGCCTAATTCTTGTTCCTAACAATTATTTTGATATTGTATTTTGAGCAAAACATTTTCAACTTACACTAATTTTGGCATCTTTATTTCAACGAAAGTAAGAAATGCATTCAATGTACATTTATCATTGAAATTATTGTACTTATAATACACGGAATGAAAATATACGTTTTCGGTCCGTGCGTATATAATTTGGCTATGTAAAAAAACCAACCTTCAATGTTCATATTCTGAACTAAGACTTTCATAGGACTGTAATTCTAAAATGGTATAATACCAGTTTCAAATTCGTACTTCAATTTAACACAGACAGTTATCCCACTTTTATAAAACTTTATTCAATGCAAATTCCTTTTCCTTTTAATTTTAATATCCTAATTTAAATATCCAAAAGAATAGATAACAATTTATAAACATTAACGCTGGTTTAGGTTACAATTCGGATATACACACCAGCCTGGCATAGGCCCTTGTGACGGATACAGCATCCTATTATAAACGTATGTATCGTTGTACAATGGATGATAATTGACAGTTTGATTATCCAATGGCTCTACAAGCAGATATGTGATGACCCTAACATTGCTGTGGCAGTCGTACATGACATTTCCCACAGACACCTTATGTGGTTCAATAGTATTGTACTCTTGGAGATGAGATATAATGTAATTGCCTCGAATAGGCTGCTCTGGTTGGCTGTAGACGGGTTGTTCGTCTTGGCGAGAGACGACTTGTGATTCTTCAGAGATAATCACATCGTCGTCTTTCTGCAAACCCTAGGTGATCTGGTACGTCAACTTGCTATTATAGCTCACGCGAGAGCGAAGCAGTCCCGGATTGCATTCCGAATGGCTGAAAAGGTAAAAAAAATCTATACACACAACATTCAGTGTCAGTAAGAATATTAGGATGGTTAAGTATAACAATATCCTTTATTCAAATTCAAATTATATATTTGATATAAATCGGATGGTACATATTGCGGTATTTAAGGTTTAATATAATGCGATTAGGCCCATTTAGCCATGAAAATTGATGTAACTATAGATAGCTAATTAACATGTAGGCAGACAATATTACTAACATATCACTGCAAAATATTTTTTAAGGAACCTTTATATTTTAAAAATGAGATACTGAGATCTAGGTTTTTAGTTTTAGACAACACATTATATTGCCTGCAGAGCCTAGGCACAGCGGCGTAGTGACCCAGGTTTGATTTTGCTGAGTTTTTGTGTATTGATTAGAATTTAACTTTTAATAATAATAAATACTACTCTCTACCATTCAAAAAGTCTTTGAACAAATAAAATGTATTAGTAATTAACCAATCCTTCAGAGCTGGGACTAACTTATTTAAGGGTAGTTCTTTGAATCGTTCTGGGATTTTATTGAAAACTTTAACGCATATCACGTAACTATTTTCTTTTTTTTTGTCGACCTAGGTACCATGTTCAACACAAGTCTATTTCGATTTCTAATGTTGTTCCTTTTGGAGAAATCCTTCACTTGCTTTAATGTTTGAGGGTGCTGTTTTATAAATTTGCATACCTCGAGATTTACAAGCACGGTAACGGAAGGATCTTTAGTTTTTTTAAATATACAACACACACACTATAACAACAACAACAAACACTATAATAAGATACGTCCGAAGCGATATCACATACGGACCTAATGCACCGTTTTTGTGCTATAAAAGTCTTATCTACATCTGTACTGTTACCCCATACCAACAACCAATACCTTAACACAGATTCGACTTAAGCAAAGTACGCTGTAATGCTTTAATTTGGCAAGAGACTTTTGCCAGTTTGTACAGAGCGAAAGAGAATTCGTCTATCCTGTTTGCGATTTTTTCTATGTGTTCCTTCCAGTTAAGTTTATCATTTATAAGTAAGATGTACTTACTGTAATCCACGCTCCCGCAGGCGTTTAATGCAGGCTGGCTTCACTTTCGGGCGACCGGGGCTATGTAATCCCCGGCCGGTAATGAAGAACAACGTAACGCTGCGCAAGTTAAGGTCACGAAGTCTCTGAATGTGTCTGTCAATGAACAGATCCATTGCTTCCATGGCTTCCTTCACCCGAAAGAAATGTAGATCAACTGTTTCATTATTCGGATTGTTTTCGGCGTGATACTGAAATGAACAACAGAATGTATTACACGTTATAAACACAAGGTGAAAGCTCCAAAGCGTATACGCTTTATGAGCACTAGACCTTCATCGCAGGCAGAAGTCAGTCGGCAATTCAAAATCTGGACAAGTGCGAGTCGGACTCGCTCACCGAGGGTACCGTACAAATTTGTGGGTACATATTATACAAAATTCAGGAAACAAATCTTGCAGTTTTTCCGAGCTTTTCCCAAATTAATTTCCCAAAACCTATAATTACTTATATTATTGTGTTTGTAAGTGAAATTGTACCTCGATGATTGGGTTAACGATAAGTACCCTATAAATTTTCGAAAGAGTCGAAATATGCATTTTTTGCAGTGAGAAAAAGATACGCCCCTTTATTTACGTTAACTTAGAAGTTTGGTTTTTTTTCACACCTTCAAGGGACTGTATGCTGACTGACTGTAGACCTGACGCGCTCCCGAGATTAAAGGTCTTGACAGACGGACAACGGGGTGATTCTATAGGGGTCCGTTTTTTTTTTCTTTTGAGGTACGGAACCTTAAAAATGTGACCAAAAACGAGGTACAAGTTCGTTCAGATACTTTTTCAGGTTTCAACAGACAACCAAACCATTTAAATATTTACATCTGCTTGTAAGTTATAAAAACTTAAATTTTCAAAAAATTATGATTTAGTAGTAGGTACATGCTACAATAGTAATATCAAATCTCGAGGTAAAATCTTCCATTCTATGTATGTCAATTAGCTTGGCAGTAGCAGCGCAGCAGCGATGCAACAACAGCGCAGCAGCAAAAGTGGGGATTTACCGTGTAATCTTGTGATAATTGTTTATTAATTTGTGAATATTTTCGGACAATGTAATAAAAGGGAATAATAATAATATTTCGGCGATCTGATACAAAACGCCATCCAGCTTCGAACTAAGCAGAGCTTGTACTATGAAAGCTAGATTACTGATAGAATACTTATTTACTTTTTTTGTAAATACATACATATTATACATAGAAAACACCCAAACTACGAAACAAATATTTGTAAATCATACAAACATTTGGTCCGACCCGGGAATCGATCCCGAGACCTCAGCACAACAGTCGCATACGCTTCCACTGCACCACCGATGCAGTACAATTAGTGGAAAATTATTTTTTAAACCTAACTTAATTCTGGAAGATTCCACAAAAATTATTGCAATCGTAACTGATATACTTTTGCATTATAAATGTTAGTAATTTAAAAAATATTTTAATCACTTACTTGAATCAGTGAAGCTACGGCCTTGCTGCTAGACAGCTCGTACTGATTTTTATGAAAATTAGCTATTTCCGAACAGTAATTAGCCACTTGAGTCATACCCCGCTGTATGTAATCTTCGGCTTTTTTCATTTGCCTGTAGTTTATAGAGACATTATGTTAAGACATTACGCAACTCGAAACATATTAAGCATTCCATAATGCAGAAATATGTGTGATGACACATATTTCTGCATTATGGAATGCTTAACCCTATTCATTATTATAATGGATCATTTTATTATAAATGACTGTTTATAAGTATAGACTACTGGTTTTTTTACCGGCGCTCCGCCCGCGTGTATGTCGGTTATGGCGATAAAATGTAGTAAGTTTTAAAGTTAAAAAGAATTTTTAAAATCAGTTTAGTGGTTTAGGCGTGAAAGCGTAATAAACAAACAAACTCACTTTCAAATTTACAACGATAAGTATGGAAGAATGGATTAACCGCAACAGATATAAGTAATTATTCATATGTTTGTATACATAAGTCGTGCTCGTTTGTGTTGCGTGTTCAGAAACTATTTTATTACTCTCTATGTGCGATCAAGTTTATTATCTTAGAATTATGTACGTTCGACGTACACCATTCTAAAATGTAATTGATCGGTTTTTATTAGGGTGGCTCTGCGGAAGAGCACGAAACCATTTTGCAATTGTTCAGTTGAGCTGTCATGTAAGGTATCTCTAATTATTTTATTGATGAGGCTACTATACGACTGAGAGACAGTTTGAGGTCATTAGGGTTATTAGTAAGCATTGCGCGTCTTTTACTATATTTGGAAGCTCTTTAGTTTCATTATGAACATGAGAGGTCCAAGAATCTGAAGTGACTCATAATAGCACTCAAGTAATGTCTATCAAAATTTACAATAAATTACCCGAAGAAATTAGAAATGAAACAATATTAAATATATATATATAAATAAATTTAAACAATTACTACTACAAAAATGCTATTACAGCATCAATGAATACCTGAACAATCAATAAATTAAGCATGTACATAAAAAACTGAAGTATAATTATTATTGTTAGTTTGAATTACCTCCCTCTCTCATCTATTGCTGTGCCCGACAGGGTCCATGATGATCTGATCTTATATTTTAGTACCATCTAAGTAAACATTGTGAAATGCAATAAATATATTGAGTATTGAGACTCATCACTTCAGACTATGTCTGGTGCACCTCTAAGAATTTAAATAAGATCCTGGTGCATGTAGTGTAATGCTGTTTCTTAACTATTGTATTTTAAAATTCTACTTACATATTTCTTCTAGTCAAATGTTTCTCGGCATCGTCACGGTAATGCTGGACAGTAGATATGTCTATTTTATCACCTTTTACCAACAATGGCCATTCAGTCTCTGACAGTGCCTAAAATGTAACAATACTTGTAATAGGTGGGTTATTTTTGAGTGTTTATTAAGAGTGAACCAGTTATCAACGTAATGCTTTCTAAACGTCCGGAACATGTTAAATATACCAGTTTGTTTACGGGACAGGGACCAATAAGCAGACGGCTCACCTGATGGTAAGAGACTACCGCCGCCCATGGACACCTGTAACGCAAGTGACACGAGTGCCTCTACCCCCACTAAGGAATAGGGGTTGGAACAATTGTAAGAAACTGGTGTTCTGTGAGGCCATGGCATTACTCCGGTCGAGATAAATTTAATGTCAGTAACAGTAACCTCATACCTTTTTATGTTCCTCTAGAAGTTTTTCATGTCGTTGTAGCTCTTTTTCCATTACAAACTTATTTAATCCATTTTCGGATTCCAAAATTTCTTCACGTCCTAAAGATATGAGAAGAACCTAAAAGAATAAAAAAATAAATGAAACCATAAAAAATGTTATAGTTGTTGTTATTCAGTTATGATTTTCGTAATTACCAAACATTTAAGAGTTTTGGATGGTTTTAGATAGTCGCAAAATGAAACTATGTAGTTATGATAAGTTTTTATGATTTGTATTATATTGTATTTGCTTATTACAATTATTTATATATATATATAAATATATATAAATAAATAATTGTATTGTATTGGTTCTTTCATGGGCCTTGAAGGAAGCCAGAGTAGTAGTAAACTAATTCTACAAAGACAAGGGCTTCACAATGATCTACCTGCCCGCTGTAAGACAACCGTTACTGAAATAATATGAAACATAATAATTTCACATTAATACCAGTATCTGCAATCGGTATAATAGTATCACCTATCAGGCCGACGTGGTATAGTAGGCCAAAACCTTTTTTCTAAGGAGAGGATTCTTTTTAAATCACAGTTAGGTTCATATTCTTAGAAAATATGTTAACGAAAAAAAAATTGTGATGATTACAAATAAAAATTGAAACTTCAGGAATGCCCACCAGCTAAATACTCGGATGGCAATCGTCCACGGACAGCACGTTCTAACGCCACTACTTTCGGCGGAAATTACTTGTAACTAAAGTGTACTTCAAAACATGAATAAAATACCCTCCAAGCTTAAACAATTTCTGATTATTCCTTCCCTGTCTAACAAATTCACGAAAAACCTAAAATTCGGCCTCCGAAACCGGTTTCCCCCTTAATATTCACATTTCTATTCCTACCAATAATGTAATCTGTATATCATTAAAAATTTGTTTTCTCCGCTCTTCGGCACACAAACATTGTTTGTCTAAAAGGAGACAAAAAAAAAACAATATATAGTGTAAAAAACCTTATAAAAAAAAAGTACTAATAAATAAAGTCAAATAAAGTACTTCCTAGAAAAAGAAAAACATGTTATTATTACCTCAACAGTCGCTTTGAAATTATTACCATGAGCCACAAGCATTTCCAAAAGAGTGTCGTTTTTGACCTCAGGAAATAAATTAAAAAGTTTCTCGTGGGTCATTTTTGCAGCTAAATCAGTAGGTATATTGTTACGCCATTCCGATATATCCCTCATATGAAGATTAAGAGCGAATTCCAAATCCATAATTTCCTTAAAATCTGGGACATCAGGCTCTTTTCCTTCCAGCATAAGCTCTTTTTCCTTTAACTGAAGTTGTCTGTAAAAGAAAACAATATTAAAATACATAATTAAATTATTAAATTAATTGAAGAATAATTGTACACTTCTTACCAACCTAGCAAACTCTTCGTCTTGCTTAAGCATCAACGCGGACCTTTTTGCATTATCGTCAAGTTGGTACATCATTGATTCTATCCACAACGCATTGATTTGATTCAATAGAGATGTTGGAATACTAATATTGAAATTTATATTACTTGGGTATTCCATATTTTCTCGTCCAAACATTTCATCTAATTTTTGTATAAATGAGCGTCCTAAATTAATATTGACAATTTTGTCACTTTCGCTAATATTACTTGTATTACTTGAACTGTCGTCATCATCACTGGAATCACTGTTAGATGCTGTACGGTTGCTAGCAACATTGACGAAAGCAGTACTTGATGTTCCTGATGTACTAGGCTGCTCGAAATCGTTTTCGACTTTATTGTATTCTCCACGGCGTATTTTTCTTATTTTGAGGCAATGTTCTGAATAATGATTATCTGCAATAACGACGGTTTGTTCTATCTGTCTTTTGAGTTGCATATTTTCTTCTGAAACTGTTATCACCCGCTTTTTCTTTTCAAGCTGCACCACTGAGCTTTCAGTAGATAGTTCTGTTACTTTATCATCGGATATTGAGGGTGTAACGTCAGTTTTAGATACATTATTCGGCATAATTTCGTACTTACCCAAACAGGTACAAGGTAAATCAGATCCTGGATCCAGCAATTCTTCTAAATCTGAACCTACCCCGTCTTCACTTTTCACTTTATATTCCGAGACTCCTCCGAGTATATTCTCCACCGCCCAATTAACGTCCCCACAGCAGTTATCAAAAATATATCTCAATGACTCTCGCTCAATATGTTTAAATAGATTTCTAAATGCAATGAAATGTCTTTCTTTTTGAGGACACTGAACCGTCATTATTATACCTTCATTGGTCATCGTACTCTTATCCAGCATCCGCTTTTCAGGAATCTTTTCCTGCACCGGTGGTACATACAACTCGTTTATATCTCGCGACATTGTAGAAATTACTTTATAATTACCTGATAAATTTATATCATTTATTTCTACGCATGTGCTAGTATCTTTTTTTTCTTTGGGAATTTCTTCAGGAGGAGCAATGGTTTGCTCTTCATCTGGATGATTCCAAGGTGGCATAAACAGTGATATGTAACGCCAATCTTGACAGTCAGTAACAGATAGCATCAATCCATTACTTGTAGTCTCGGTATTAGAATCTTTAACAGGTTTTTCTCTTGGAGGCTTTGATTCCAAACTAGATATTAATGCAGTCGTAACATTTATAGGACTGCTGGTACTAGAATTTGTAGCTGTAACAGTAGAAGTGGTACTTGTTGTTTTATCGAATTTTATAAAAGAAGTATCACCTTCTGTATCATTTTCATCCCATTTTTCACCATTGTCCCAATCTTCTTCAAACTTTTGTAATTCTTCTAGTTTCTTCTGCGCCTCTAATACAATTTTTTGCTTTGCTTGTTCTTCTTCAGACAGATCATTAACGTCGCTCATTGTAATAAATTCTATATTATCTTCTTCCTCATGAAAGAGATTTTCTGCCGAAGGCTTGAGTCGGTCTTGACCAGAATCCTCAACATTCTTTGTTTGCTCGTGTGAGTTTTGATACGATTGTTTTGGGGGTTGAAGTAAATGATTACGAGCTTCATCTTGCAGGAGCAAGGATGGGCCTACTTCTGAGGAAGTTGTAGCCTCTGAATTTGATTTCAAGTCACTTTTATTATCTGCCAGTATTGGTGGGATTGCTGGTATTAATCGTTTTATAGGAGGTACCATGTCTTCAGCATAGCTTAATCTAAAGGAGTGTATCAAACTCTCACCAGTTACGTTTTCAACATAATTATCTAACATCCTTTTAATTTTTTGTAAAGGTACTTTGTGTGTGTTCATGTTAAATAGCTGTCTGGGTATTTTTGCCCATGGTGTCATTGGTTCCACTACTTCAATTATATATCCATTCATAAGTCCTTGTACTACATATGGTCGCATTTCCCATATCTCGATATTTGTATTATCTATAATAATGGGGCTTAGCCCTTGAATTGCTGATGTTTCAACTCTGTTTTGATTCCATGAGTGGGCATACGATATGTATGACTTGTCATATTGATATTTTCCTCTGACCATAAAATAATCATCACTACTAAAGACATGGTTGTTGTAACTAGACAAGGAAGGTCCAATTAGAGTTTCTACTATTAGTCTTGCCAGATGGCTTTTCCCACTACCAGGGAGACCCCTCATAATAATCATTATACGAGAACCATTATTATAATGTGTTATAATTTTACGAATTTGATCAGTCCAAAAATACCGTGATGGCTCTACATTTCTCTTTTCTTTCGTTTGAGGTTCTTTAACAACAGCGCCTGTACTTTGAGCAGTACGCGCGTAGGAAATCGTAGGCTGTGTTTGTTGTAATGTTGTATTTGGTTGTGTGCTTTGGCTTGTAGAAGGTTGATCATCATTAGGAATCATGTTACCATTATTTGTTATTTCCGTTATGGCATCGACGCATAGATTCACTGTTAAAAGACAACAAAAATAAACATGAGATATTTCATTAATGAAAAAAAAGTTACACCTTAAATTTGGTCTCATTGAATCTATTTAAGTACTCATAAAGCATTGAAGGCATAAAAAAGATGTCCTCTCTAAATATTTTATACATGCCACAAGAATTTAAAAAACTTTTAAAATATAAAAATTAGTGTACCAGAACCACATGTTAGATTAAAAATAATTTGGTGCGATCAGGTAAAGGGGAAGAGACATCGTAGCTATCTACTCGTAACCGTAACTACTGGATATCCAAATTTCAATTTCAAAGGGTAGGTAGTATAAGTAGTCATAATACCCTTTAAAAATACCGTGAGGCAGTGACTTAATTCAATACGTCAATTCAATACAGTAGAACACACATTATGGACAGAGGTTATTGTTCAGTCTAACCCTTGTCTTGTTTACATGGTTTTTATTGTGTTTGTTACACCCAACGAGTGAATATTTGTAATCTTTATGCGATCACCACAACGCTTGTAAACTATTTTACGCTCAATGAGCGTTTTCAATATTTCAGCGTAACATGTCTATTGGTGACATTGTTAATGGTCCCGATGTGTCAACCATGGTCTTTCTAAACAAATTCACAGTTAATGATGCATCTTGAAGACAGACAGACAACTTAGAGTAGAGAAATGTTAGTGAATTTTTTCATCAAACTGGGACTGTTTATAGAAATGTAATAAAAAAGACGTGTGGCACTCGGGGACTGCCGCGGTAAAGCTATTGCATAGCATTTTTTATCAACTTAGTATTAATAAACTTAGTATTAAATAATTATCTCAGGAAAACCCTATAGAAATTTGCCCGGCCGGGAATCGAACCCAGTAAGGCAGTGTTTTTAAATTCCACGCGAACGAAGTCGCGGGTACCAGCTAGTATTAAATAATTATCTTAGGTAAACCCTATAGAATTTTGCCCAGCTCCGGAATTGAACCCACTAAGGCAGTATTTTCAAATTCCACACGAACAAAGTCCCGGGTACCAGCAAAAAAATCTGAAGGGGCCAGATTGTTCGTCTCCTTTTCCCGGTTCAGACGAATCCAAACATGGGGTGTCCAAGTGCTCCAGGAACCGAGAAAATCAAAGGGGGATAAATGGAAAAAGTTGAAGGGTGAGGGGGAAGTATTTTGTGCGGACCTCAATGCAATCATAAAAAATAAGTCATCCCTCGGAAACCCCCCCCCCCCCCCCCTTTAGAAAAACAGACTGAAGTGTTGTTACATGTTACAATACTTATCAAAAAAATCTGTAGGGGCCAGATTGTTTGTCTCCTTTTCCCGGTTCAGACAAACCCTAACATGGGAGTCCAAGTACCGAGGTGCTCCAGGTACCGAGAAAATCAAAGGGGGGGATCAATGAAAAAAGTGGAGGGGAGAGAAGGGGAGGATTTTGAAGGGACCTCAATGCAATTATAAAATATTTGGTGGGGGGGTATTGTATGTGGATGTTATTACATTAATAAAAATAAACTGGTCTCCCCCCTTTGTCATGTCAAAGGAACACCCTACCTTAAAAAAAGTTCTGCTATTCATCTATAGATGGCAAAACTAAAAAGTATCACCGCTATGCCGGTCGGAGTGGGAGGTGTTCGGTTATTTTCGTTATGGAATTTCTGGATTCGGTCTCCACGCTCAAGGCCCGCGATAAAGCTATGCAATAGCTTAAAAACTCCCTAATGAAACAAACTGCTTTGGAAATTAAAGAAAAGTGTGTGCTTCTGTGATTTTGTAATTATTGTTACCAAAACCGTTGTAATATTATTCATACACCCCTATCCATATTGTGACGTCTGAAAGGTTTTGTAAGCTCAGGTAGTAAAGTAAATAATAACAAGAACTCTTTATTGTTTGTATGTTATTTTATGCCTACAGCTTCATATCTCTAAAAGAACAAAAAAGGGTTTTAGCACTTTTAGTGGAGCAAAGCCAAAAGGGTTGAAATAGAAAATACGTATTAACTATAGAGCAAGGGAGAAAGAGCATAGAGTTACTGTAGAATAAGGGAATAGCCACACGCTGCGGCACCACTCAAGCTCGGCGCCTGAGTGGTTTCGGGTAATGCCGCGTAATGCACACAAATGTCCATGGTATACCAAGCAGTGCGGTGCCTCACCGCACTGCCTTCCCTACTATTAAGTGACTTGAATCTGTTTAATTACATTTTTAGTTACATTTCATTAACGGTCAAATTATATACTGGCAATATTCACTACAATTAGTTAAATCATTAATTAGTTTGAGTAGCATAATTTGTTATTTTGTTTAGACTTTTATATTTTTGTTATTTTCTAACTCCGAAGATATAAAACACTTAGTGGAATGCCTGCGTTAATTCTACATGTAGAATAGATTCTATGAAATACATGGTGTAATAATAAAAAATAAAAAAATTTAAATTATGTTGTGGGGTGTGTTTTAAAGGAAATAAAAAACTAAATTGGTGGCATCAAATAGAAACAAAATAACAAAATAAAAGTCTCGGGCGCCAGATACCACCTTAAAAGAACACAGAACCCACCACAAACACAACAAATACCTCGGACATCTCAGCCAGCTTTGAACCTTTTTAAAACAAGGCGGGAGGCAGCTAATGAATACAAGATGTTAAGTTCTAATGGCTGTTTATTATCCCGTAGTGTCTGTAGAGTACAATGTGTCTTATGTCTCTAATTACAATAGGTAATTTCTATACACAAATTAGTACTGTCATTAATGCAATCCTTTCCAATAAGAAAAATATAATGTTAAATAAATTTTAAAGAGTCACATGAAGACCCAAAAAGAAAAGAGTATAAGGGTAGTTGTAGCAACGCCCTACTCCCTTAATTAAAATTAACCCCTTTGGGGACCTGTAGAGGTTTTTAAACAAAGTCGCATAAAGACTTAATAGACTAAACAATAAACTCTAAGGGTAGACATAGCATTGACCTACTCTCTAATAAAAATAACACCCCTTAGGGACCTGCAGTATTCAATGCCACGTCGCCAAGAAAAATATAACAAAAACACATACCGATGACCTTGGATCAGTCCGAACGAAATGAAATCAAACCAACTCCGAAACTTCTCACTCCGGTTCCCACGTGGTGTAAGAGGCGGGTTAGCACTCCCCGGCTCCAGACAATGGCGTGCAGCTAAGCAGCTTTTTCTACCAGTCCGGTGCTCCACAGCAATCTAATTCCTTGGGGTCAAACTCCGGCGAGAGACAAAAATCCGAACGCCACGCAAGGACATTCCAATAAGAAAGTAAAATAATTTAGGTAATGTAAAGACTGTAGATATAAACTAAAAAAAGAAACCCTGATTCATCAGGGTTCCAAAACGTTTCACAAATCAAGCAGCGGCATTATAAGCATTATAAGCATTGCCTTTTCAGCAAAAATAATCACTCGAACCAATAGCTCGAGTCCTAACTAGGTTGACCAAACATTTAAAGAGGAAATAGGCCCTCGTCCATATCAAATAAATAAAGATTAATAAAAAATTACATGACAAATCTAGCTTCCTTCATTTCACTCGGCGGCCGGTCCAAAAGTGAAAGTCAAAGTGATACCAGTGCAATAGCCTCTCGCTCTATAGAGCGGGGAAACAAAAATGTTGCCAGGACAAGAAAAACCAAATCGACTAACTAATCGCGGGCGAACAACATCGGTTATTACTCTCGTCCGTCCCTCGACCATCGGCACACGCAGAAACGACAAAAAATTCAACCTAACAAAACAAAAACGAGACTAAGGTTCAAATTACTGTAATGGCGCGAAATGCACCGTTACATTACATACCTTCCCGAAAAAAAAATAAAAGAAAGGACTCTTTCTTTTATGCTGAGAAGTCACCACTCAACAAACTTATCAAACAAAAAGATTGCAAAATAACTAAACTCCAAAACTGACTCTACCAAAAACTCTACTAAAACTCTACAAACTCCAGGAATACAAAAATCCATACGCCAAAAAGGACTAGGAAACTAAATATAAGATCAAAATATACTCTACAACAGAATCACACAAACCCAAAAACAAATCCCTACACCAAGCTACCATTAGGACTGGAAAGTCCAAAAAGTGCGGTTGGACACCCTCGTCACCGACTCTAATGGAGCTTCAAACACAACAAAATATACTACACAAACTGCTTCCATTGGGAACTGTACATCTAAAAAGATACCAGCTTCCACGAAGTGCGGTTGGACACCCTCGTCACCGACTCTAATGGAGCTGCAAACTACAACAAAATACACTAACAACAACAAAGTAAACTCCACAAACAACATCCATTAGGAATTGTATCTTAAAAGATATCAATATCCAAGAAGTGCGGTTGGACACCTTCGTCACCGACTCTAATGGAGTTACGAACTACACAAAACAAAACAACATCCATCAGGAAATGCATATCTCAAAGATATCAATATCCAAGAAGTGCGGTTAGACACCTTCGTCACCGACTCTAATGGAGTTACAAAATGCTTCACCTCAACATTCAAACACATGTCAAACATGTCGAACCAAACAAAATATTCATCCCAACAAGGCGGGGAGAATATATAAAAACCTGTGTATTGTGATCGGCACAACCCCACCGAACTACCGGGAACCATACGACAGAAACCAAACAAAAATATTCATCCCAACAAGGCGGGGAGAATATATAAAAAACCTGTGCATTGTGATCGGCTCAACCCCACCGAACTACCGGGCACAATGCAACAGAAACCAAACAAAATATTCATCACAACAAGGCGGTGAGAATATATAAAAAACCTGTGTATTGTGATCGGCTCAACTCCACCGAACTACCGGGCACAATACAACAGAAACCAAACAAAAATATTCAGCACAACAAAACGGTGTGAATATATAAAAAAACTGTGCATTGTGATCGGCTCAACCCCACCGAACTACCGGGCACAATGCAACAGAAACCAAACAAAAATATTCAACACAACAAGACGGTGTGAA